GATATTTCCAAAAAAAGCGCAAAAAACCGATTTTTGTGACCTTTGACCTTGAAATTTAATAGTTGCTTACACCCTACCATATGTAGGTTTTGAGACAACTTTTAGGGTGTCAATATACAAGTATTTACAGACTTACAGCTGGGTATCTCGAATTCCAAGGTGAACTTACTATAATGACTGGACTAAGAAGCACGTCTTCATCGATAATTTTATCGGTTCCGCACGTGTTTGAATCGACGGTTTTTCCTATGATGTAAATTTCACGTTCACCGTTCAGTACATTTCGAAACAAACATTATTTTAAACGCGGTTGGGTTTCATCTCGACCCTATTAAACTTCAACAAACAAAGCAGGCCTTCACGGTTTGCGGTGCTTTTTCCCTGAGTATTCAACGTTTCACAGAAACATATCATCGAGTAGTAATTTGATAAACCGCAAATGCAATTCACTCGGCTTTATCAAGATTGATGAGTTGGCGTAACCATCAATCAGAAATGCGTTATGGAAGTAACAGATTAATTAAGAGGTGACGACGGATTATTATTATTATATATTATTATTATAAAAATGATAGCTGGTGCAATCTATAATGAATCTTCAGATCAATCACAAAACTGCCAATAACTCACCTAAAAAGTTCCACTGATCTAAATCGCAGGGCAGATACTCCTGTACTTGGTAGCTTAACGCCAGCTGGTCTTTTTCTTGTTGTTGGACAGGATGGGCAAGTGCCTGGACGCTCTTGGTGTCGTTGCTGAGGGCTGCGATGTGGAAGGGGGAATGACCTTTGAACCCTCTCGGGCAGGGATCAACTCCGGCCACGACGAGCCACCGAGCTACGTTCGCTTGACCTGTGGCGACGGCGAGGTGGAGAGGCGTTTGACCGCTGTTGTTTCGAATTTCGAGGAGTTCGGGAAGGGGAGCAGCTCTGATCAGGGCTAAAGCGACCTCGACGAAACCCTCTTCGATTGCTGTGTGGAGGTGTCTGCAAAAGAAAAGAAGAGCCTGATGACTGGAGAACTCAGGTGTCATGGGCTACAAAATAAAAAAATACAAGCAGAAGGTATCTGAAGGGATGCCTTCATGCTAACCAGTTGCTTTTCAGTAAAAAGCTGCAGAGACAGAACGAATCTGATTCGGCAGTAGATGTCGAAGGCTGGCTTTGCAACGGACCGCTTCAAGGAGCCTCACTGTGATCCCATAGATAAAGTCTTCGTATGGAACATTCCCATTCTTACTTTAACTTAGGTTTCTCCTTTAAGGACAGATAAGTCCAGCAATGCTTTCGTGGTTCAGCCTGTCACCACTGACGGGGTTTGTGGTAGATCGAAACAGCGCTGGTGTTGAATCACGATTGCTTTATTTTTGACTTTGGTTCCATCTACAGTAGTGGTTGCTCTGTGATACCCAAATGCAAGTATTTCCTACCAAATTAACATCTACCTTATGTGAAAATTACCATTTCCAAACCGATATAAACTCATATTTTGGTCTGAGACATGGGGAGAGTAACTGAAATCCAAAATGCTGAAGATAACCAGAAAAAAAGATATACAGTTATTCTATTATAATATTTTTTTGGGTTTAGGCCAAAACCAACAGTGTGATCATGCCTCAGCCACCGTATTCACCAGATTTAGCTCCCTGCGACCTTTTCCTGTTCCCAAGATTGAAGACACCCATGAAAGAACGGCGTTTTGCGACGATTGAGGAGAGAGCTCAAGGGCATACCAAAAAGGGCATATCAGAATCATTTGGAGGTTTGGAAAAAAAGCTGTCACAAGTATATTATATCTGAAGGGGCTACTTTGAAGGGGACAAATGAAATTGATGGATAAATAAATATTTTTTGAGAAAAATGAAAATTCACCTTATTTTTTTAACGTACCTCGTATGTACTGACGAAACTACATCTATTCTTGTACAATGATAGAGATTTGTATACAAATCAGCCGATATTTTGACTATGTGAAAAAGGATAAAAGGGAATATATATTTTTTCTTCCTCTGACGTCTTATCTAATTTCCTCTCTGTGATAAATTCGTAAGAGGAATAATAAGAGAAGTATTATAACTATGTCTATGAATATTTATACTATAACTGATATATCACTTCACTTTACATTGACTTTTCCAAATATATGTTAAAATTGTCTAAGTGGAATAAACATATTATTATTATTGCTCATTTTGTGTTGTGTCTGCTGTTTTGGAAGTCGTTTTCATTGAATTAATTTTATATGATTTCTTTGCAGCGGTACAAGTATTTTTCTAAGTTGGCTACTCTGCCTATTCATTATTAGCACAGAATACCTTACAGAAGAAACACGGAACAACAAACATGAACTTTCTCCTTCCAAAGTGTCATTGTGACAATTTCTCAACTGCAATTAAATTATGTATCAGAGATTTTGAATTCGACGCTAAAAACTGACGTTGAATACCTCCAACACAGAATATAGTAACAAAAACCTTATTCCTCAACATCAAAGTTCCGCCATTTGAGTTTAAGGTATTCCGTGTCATCAGTGTCAATTGTCGTATGTACTTAGTTGACGTTTATATTCTCTATTTTTTTGACAGTTGACAAGACTAATGACAAGCGGCAGGGTAGCCAACTCGTCAGACTCCAAAAAGTCACTAACTTGGAACCTCGAAATCTACGAATGAGGCGACTTCTCATTTCGAGAATGTAATGAATGTTCAAGATTTCTAAATTGCTGGCGTAATAGTTGGGAATTCCGCAAAATCGTAGCCGGTTTCCCAATAATTTCACACGGTCATTCTAGTTTTGCAGATACGTAGTTCAGTCGGCACCCACGTGTTAATGTCCTGTTTCTCCGATTATACCGAGTCGATAAAAATATCGCCAGTATCTGACCGACGGGGACTAATAATAGAAGATGCACCGTAAATATAGTCTGGCAACGGGAACAGATTCTTGATATATATCGCTGCTATCGCTTAGGAATGAATTGTTGGGTGATTTTTTTTTGGCAATCAAGGTTGGGATTTCACTGTAAGTTTGGACAGTTACTAAAACCATACTGTCAACATTAGAAAGCTTAATTTGAGAGCCCAGAAATGAGCAATTGTCCCAGGACAATTTAGGAGATGATATTTCAAGAATTCTCAACCTAATTTTTAATACGCTTACATTACGAATTATTATTAAGAGTACTGGTATTCATAAACTATAGTAACGTACACTTAAGCTTATAAACTCCAGATTTCACCATCTTGTCAACTTTATGGAATTGAATATTTCTGTTTGTTCAGATTAAATAATATATGTATAGGTATAGTTGTATTATTTGTATAAATTTAATTGATTACACTTAGTACATTATAAGTACATTATTGATGTTAAGCAAAACAATTTAAAAAAATATAGTTTAAAAAAACTAAAAAACACGCTTTTGAAGAACATCGAACTGAAAAGTTAAAAATATTTTTTTTTAAATAAATAGAAACGGAATTAGATTCCGTTTCGTTCAAAACTTTTTTCTGTACTGAATCACGGGTAATTGAAAATATTTAAATATTTCATCTGTAGTACAAAATTTCGATAACACTTATAATTCATAAAATATGTTTTTTATTTTGATTTTCTTTTGAACAACCTATCAAGGAAGTTACGTCTAGCGCCATCTGCCCGCGAATAGCTCAAGCGAAGTTGATTCTTACTGTTATTTTCTATCCATTCACTTTTATATTTTCATGCTTTATAGTTTTTATATTCTCATATTTACATTTATGTGTTGCATGAGAATATTCATTATTATTATTAATTTCAATATGTAGTATATATATTATCACTTTCTGACTGCTTTTCCACCCCAAAATGCTGAATTCACCAAATGTTCAAATATTACTTTCATATTATTACTGCCCGCGAATAAATCAAAAAATATCAATTCGGTTACGAACAGTGCCATCTGCCCGCGAATAGAACAACCAATAATGCCGATTATTCTGTCAAAACACATCCCGATCTTGAGAGTTACACACAAACATGCATACAAACAATCATACATACTTACAGGTGAAGCTAATATAAAGCGTGTAAAAAATTAGAAATTCAATAAATTATTTTGGAAGCACAATATTCATGAGTTATTTTTTTGCTGGTATCTTTTCAGCAACACTGTTTTTGACAGATCACGCGTGAATCGTGTCTTGTGTCATTGTCAAACTTCTATAATTTAACCATGAATCGACTTACGAATGAATAACGCTTGCAAATTATTGAATTTTATTATCAAAATTCATGCTCGGTGAAGAAAGTGCATCGTGCACTTCTTCCAATTTATAGGCAGTTTCGTCGGCCTACTGAAGGACCTATTCGGATGCTTGTGACTAAATTTCGAACCCAGTTTACATTATTGGACATTAAACCACCAACACGCATACGTAGAGTGAGGACCAAAGAAAATATTGCGGCTGTATCCGCCAGTGTTCGTAATGACCGTGAAATGTCGATTCGCCGCCGTTCGTAGCAATTGGGCCTCTGTTACTCCACTACGTGGGAAATTTTGCGAAAGTATTTGGATGTAAAACCTTAAAAGATACAGCTGGTACAAGAATTGAAGCCACACGACCTTCCACAACGTCTAACATGGCCCAATTAAGAGCCACCTTCGGTGAACAGTTTATCTAACGTTTGGGGCCCGTCAATTGGCCGCCTAGATAGGGTGATTTAACGCCTTTGGATTATTTCTTGTGGGGTTATGTTAAGGCTCATGTCTACAGGGATGAACCAGCAACGACTGACGCTCTGGAAGCTAATATTGAAGTATTTATACGTGAAATACCGGTCGATATGTTAAAGAGAGTGTGTCAAAATTAGACCTTGCGCATGGGCCATCTAAAGCGGAGCCGCGGACAACATTTACATGAAATCATCTTCAAACATTAAATTATATTGATCGTTCTATCGATCCCAATAAAGATATCATGAATGTTTTCAAATTTTTTGTGTTGTTTTGAAAATCAAATCATATACCTCTTAAAAAATCACCCGTTACAAGGGACATACTTACATACAAGTAGTAAAATAAATTAGGTATTTATTCGATAGTTAAAAAATTCTTCAAGGCTGTAGAAAGTATTCATTGTCAGCATTTTAAAAAAATTTTTTCGTTGCCACCATTTTTAGCATAGCAATCTTTATCATTATGTATACATAGTAATACATATATTTGAAATGTATATGCAGGGAAATGTTTTATACTGAATATTGATTCATCAATAATAAACTTTATATAGCGTGTTTTTGACCGGGACTACCTGTTAACCTCAAGTGATGCTCTTCTATTTCGAAAACGATTCAAATTATTAAAAAATGCTTGGAACAAAAGTTGTAGGGAATTCAATCCTCTACAATATTGATAATGAATACAAATAGCGAAAACCCCATAGGAAACTAGTTAATTGCAAAAAATGTGCAAAAAAATAGATTTTGTGACCTTTTACCTTAGATTTCAATAGTCGCGTACACTGCACCATATGTAGGTTTTGAGACAACTTCAAGGATGTCAAAATACAATTTTATACGAGTTTATAGCGGGGTATCTCAAATTCCGAGATACTTTCCTGATTTTGACTAAGATGACTGGACTATTAGTAATTCAACAAAATCTGAATGGAATAAGTGTGTTGTATCTTCCTTGGGATTGTACGGAGAGCTCATTAAGCACAAACAAGATTCATGTGGATCAGAGGTCGGTCTAATTTCGTAGTTTGATAAGTTTGAAGAGGTCAAAATCTTGATGATTTCGCACATTTTTCATGAAAATTAATCCGAAGCAGTGGCGCACACGGTTTCATTGACTACCTAGCAATTTTAATTACGCATATTGAAACGCCCAGCACACGTGGGACGAAGCCTGTTGCTTTTCACCTTGATGTTGACGACTTGTCGTTGCTCTCACAACAATCAAAACACGTTTATCTTTTCCAGCGCGGAAGGAAATACTAGTTAAA